TGATGGTGATGTCATTGGTGCTCGTAATGATGATGTTGATGGTGATGATGTTGATGGTGATGTCATTGGTGCTCGTGACGATGATGAGAGTAAATTTTGATCCTATAAATATCTAATAAATTTAAAATGAGACATTTCATGTTATACTTACATCATTAGGATCTGTTAAATCACCTAAATCAGTCTGAAAGATAAATATTCCAATATTAGATATTAAATAAAGTTTCTGGCTTACCTTATTTGTTTCCAGCTCTTTTAGTATCATTTGATTAACTGAACCATCATTTATTTTGTTCACCACCTAAAAAAAGTAAAGTCAAATATACTTTGATGTAATGATAAGACCAGTTTTCTTACACTTGACATTTTATTTTTGAATTTACCATGGTTTACTTCAGCAATTGTTCGTTCATTTTCAACCATTATTGTTTTATTACGACCTTCATGTACATTTGAATGCATTTGATTGAGTTCAAGACAAACAGCTAAATATATATATATAAAAAATGAAAAGAAATTTTTTAAAAGTATGTAAAAAATTTTACTATTACCACGAAAATTAGTTGTTGTATTCTTGTTTTCCTTTCCCTACAATAATTAATGAATATATATATTTTTTTTATTTTTTTTTCTCTTCAATGACTTTAACCTCATTATGATTGTTTGATTTTTTTAAATGTTGTTGTTGTTGTTGTTGATTAATAGAATAATTTTCTAATGGTCCTCCTTCCATAATATTAAAATGTACTAGATTATTACTTCAACTAAAATGAAGATAGAAAATTTATTCGAGAAAAATACAGTCCACGAAAATTTCAATTATAGCCTTTGATTTATTTGTTTTTTATTACTATACGTTTTTATCTATTGATCTACTATATATAGGGAGAAAGTCCAGAACCCGTTGCATCTCTTAGTATATTTACGTTGAAAAACAAATGTAATTTAAAGTATAAAAAGTGTATTAGAAGAAAAAGACGTTTTTTTTTATCGCCAAAACTGGGTGTCCATATTGTTGTAACATTTTTTTATGTTGCATATATCTCGGCTTAAGTAAATGATAAAACGTTAAATTTTTTTTCAAAAGATGTGCTGTGAAAAGCTCAGGAAAAGTGAATTCAATCATATAGCTTTTGTAGAGCTTTTTATGGCGCATCCTTTGAAAAAAGTTTAACGTTTTATCGTTTACCTAAACCGAGATATATGCCAAATAAAAAATGTTATAACATCATGGACACTATGGAATTAAAAAAAAGATCCTTTTTCTTCTAATACACTATACTTTAAACTGCATTTCATGTTCAATGTAAATATACGAAAAAGATGCAGCGACTTCTGGGCTTTCTTCCTATATATAGTATGCTAATAGATAAAAACGAATAATAATAAAAAAAAAGTTAAAGAGTATAATTGAAATTTTCCTCGACTGTACATATGACAATGGTGTATTCTCAATTTTTGGAGGTGAAGGAGAGATTTTCGTATCAACTCTATTTCTAGCTTTCATAAATAATTGTTCTACCATTCTATTGCAGACTAAACGTGTTATGAATGGAATGGTTAGAGAGTTTATAAACAGAGAATGTCCTTTGTTTTGTCGAAGTATACACACGACGGACGTATATTCGTCATTTAGAACATTGGTCATTAAACGTTTGAAATGACCTAGTTATAGATATCGCTACTACACTATATAGTATTTCTTTAAAATCTTATCTAATAGAAAATATCGATCACCAATGAGTCATTCGATTCATATATTGGTTTCTTCGGTATTGTCTGAGAAATAAATAATGCGAGAAAAATTTTTACGATTCTATCACATATACGACTTTCGATTTTTTTTTCTATGAAGATCTTAGATGATATCGAAAGTCAAATTAAAATTCATACAATAAAATTTTATTATTAGACCAGACAAAGAAATATATGAGTGAATTGCGCTGGGATTGTACGATTTGAAGAAAAAAACGAAAAAAATAAAAGTGAATATGAAGCAAATTTGAATCGGGCATTCGATAGAGCTCTATTAGTTGTGTATAAATCAAATATTTTCCCAACTGTCAGTTTTTTCATTTCAGAAAAAAAATTGAGTTTTATTAAAAAATGCATAATTTCCAAGATCTCTTGACATAACAAAATAAATAATTTTAGAAATATTTTGACAAAATGAAATCACGAAATGGCAGTTAATATATTGTTATTATATATTAATCGAAAGCTTCTGAAAAGGAGAATCTAATGAGCATATGCAGAACTTTGTCGGGACACATACATGCCTATAATAAGAGCGTAAAGGTGCAGATGACATCCTCACCATCACCCCTTCCCTCTTATTTTTAGTTTTTTATTTGATTTAGAAGGTCTTTAGAAAAAAAAATTTTTATCGAAAGATTTCTTCCTCTTTAGTCTATCGAACAGAAAAAGAAAATTTGAATTTGCTTTTAAATCGGGCTTAGTAGATTGAATTTAATCTGTCGGGACATTTTTCGAGTAAAATACTATTTTCTCATGAACAGTACGTGCTTAAGAGCTAAAATTTTTACCACAGATTTATCATATAGTCAGCTAAAAAGGATAGAAAATTCATGGCCTTAGCTCTTATAGTTACCGAGAAATCAAAGAAACAAAATTCAAAATCTGTCGGGACATTTAGCAAAAAAACAATACCCCTACCGTCTTATTTTTAGTTTTTTATTTGATCCATAAGGTCGTTAGAAAAAAAATTTTTTATCAAAAGATTTCTCACTCTTTACTCTACCAAAGAGTAAAAAAAAATTGGCGTTTGCTTTTGCATTGGCTTCAGTAGATTGAATTTAATCTGTCTGGACATAAACTGGTCAAAGTGTATGTTTAGCTAGTCTTTGCAAGATTTGATCAGAAAATCAAAACCAAAGCTGTGATCAATTTATATGATGAGGAAGAGGAAAGTCTTAGCTACAAAATGGTTATAATAAATTATTTTTATGTATTCAAAATTGTAGGACAGTAAGAGTAATTTTCATCGATGGGTGGGCCCAAAAAGCACTCATTTTGACCTTTCTTGCTTGAAAATTCCATACCTATGGTAGTCAAACGCCTTGATAGTTTTACGGTAAGTAGGACAGAGCCTAAGGAGTATTTCAAAAAAAAAATTATTAAAATTGGTTGAGTAGAAGTCGAGATATAAGCGTTTTTGTGTTCGAAATGCAATCGTACAATGCCAGCGCAATTCACTCATATATATTACTCTTCAAAAAGTATCGATCTGCTCAAACAGATCCTATATAAGCTTTTCATCATCCGATAGCTCAATTACTAGTTCTCTTCAATAACTATTAACTACCCTGCTCCCTAATCGGAAACCCGAGATATGATATATAAATTGTTATATTTATTTATTATATATTATTTACAACTACATTGAAACTTATAAAATATAACATATAAATATACAGAGTGGCCCATAAATAACTATCCGATAAGAAATTTAAATATCTCCGTCTAGATGTCGACCAAAGGAGCTGAAATTTTTACCAGTGATAGAGGCATATGCAAAGTTTATATCCATAAAGACATGCCTAGAGAGACTCTTTGTTAAGTATCACTATTGACCTCAACATAAGAATTTTACTTTTTCACCGATAGAAAAATGGCTAATGCATATTAAGTGCATTATTGTAAGACTCGTATTTATGAAATAATCGATGGTGAAAAAAAATTTCAAATAAAAAAAAAATGATTATTATCCGAGTATGTAGCAACAATAATAAAAAAAAATCGGGCGCGCTAAAATGAAAAAGACAGTCACAGTTTTAAATGTAGAAATAAATGATAAATTATTGTTCTTGTCAGCGATGAGTTATGAAAACGACTTTAGTCGACAGAAATTTTTCAGTTTACAGATAATATATTAGGATAACAAGTCTAAAGGATATACGTGAGTTCCACATTTCAGCTCCTTTGGAGCTGTGCTAACTAGCTTTTTTTATTAATGTTCTATGAGGATATAGAATAATTCATAAGTAAGATTATGATTGTTTTTTTTGTTCTATAGAAATTGTAGATCAAATTCTATTTTTTTTTTTGGTATCATCTAATAAAAGAAATCTTTACAAAATAATTTTTCATACCAAAGACAACATCAATTGGTTGTTGACGTTCAAATTTTTCTTTTATTGAACTAAATTGTTGAATTTGTAAATTACTCAATGATTTAACTGCTGGTATTGATGAATGTCGATCTTCTGATTTTGTAATTCGTTCTCTATTTTGTTGTTCATTTGATGTTGATGAATGTTTTTGTGATGTTGATTGAGCAATATTTTCATTTGATTTTGATAAACGTGAATGTACTGGATCTAATATTGTTAGAGATGATAATGAACGTGCTCGTTCTTGATCATGTTGTTTTGGATAAAGTGAACGTCCACATTCACCAATTTCATTAGTTTGAGTACTTATAATTATTGGCTCTATAAAAATATATAATAATAAAATAAAAAAATTTCATCAATATATATGAACATCCACACACACATGCACACACCCTGATTATCAGCCAAAAATTTTTTGATTTGAATCGAATATTCACCTCGAATTTGTTCCCAATCTGATTGTTCTGGCTTATCAAAATGAAGTACTAAACGAAGACTAGCATCTTTTAAACGCTGATACTGTTCTATTATATTACAAAAGAAAATTTTTAATATCACTATCTTCTATTCCAATAAACATACCAAAAATACCATGTCCTCGATAGGTTGTTCCTAAAAATTTAGGAGAAATTTTGTCCAATTAAAAGAAAATGTGCTAGAGCAGTGATTTCCTATAACTAACAAGGCTGTCGATGTGTGTGTATGTGTATTTGTCGATATTATACATACGTTCTTCAATAGATTCATCTGATGCTTTTTTAACATCTTTAGATTCAACAAATACTCGAAGTGGTGTTTCTGGTATTGGAATTCGATTAAATAAAACGAATATAGTATGTTGACCTAAAAGAATTATCATTTAGATAAAAGATTATAGAAAAAATTCTTTTTGTTTTTTTTTGAATTTGCCTGAAGCAATTGGTTCAAATTCTACAGCAACATGACCATTTGATCGTTTAAGAACAGTAATTGGTAATGATCGATTATTTGGACCTGAAAAATTCGTATTGAAAATAATTCGCTTTTTTTATAATATAGATAAATCCAACCTTTGATAGCAACTTTTAATGAACCTTTCCCAGCTTTTGTAGGATCAATAACAAAACGATTTATTGTATCGATTTCTATTTTATCAGGAAAATCAATTAAATAAACTGAAGATGGATCAAATGCATGAACAATTAATGGACTACCGTCAATAGGTTCATTATCTTTTGCAATATGAATTTCAACGGGACCTAAAATATTCTCATTAATATATATATATATATATATAAAATTGTTAAATTCATTTGAAATTATTTTTCTTCGAAAATTATGATCGTAAATTTGCCACTTCATTAGATTTCATTTTCAATAAGTTAGAAAGATAGAGTGTGAAATCTGTATATTTATTTTTTTTTATTTTTTATTTTGATGAATGCAAAAGAAAGACTATAAGGTCAATTAGTTTTGAATAGTAACTATATTAATCATAATTTTTTCCTTGGTAGACTTAATATGAAAACAAATAATATAAATTGATGTAGTTTTTCATGCCCTATAAAATGACATGATGATCATGTTTATTGATTAGTTTATGTAGAGTAAGACAGGTACGACTATAAGCACCTTTGTGACCTTACATAAAGTAATCCAAAAATAAGATCATTATGTCATTTTATAGAGAATGACAATCACATCAGTCTACAGGGTAATCTGTACTTTGCCCGAAAAGTACAAATATCGACAAAGACTTGAGCATTGTTTTTTTTTTAATCTATTGAGTTTTTTTTTTGCCACAACAAAAGACAGACTAGTAAGAATGCAGAAGAAAATAAGATCGAAACCTATTACGTTTTAATTTAATAGTATCTTTTTTGAAACTTCTCGACAAGAATTTCATAAATTCATATATTAAAAAAAACAACATAAAACATACCAATAACAGTAGGTTCATAGAAAATTCTTTTTCGTCCATCAATAAGATATTCAGTTTTGTAATTAATATTTTTACCATCAGCATCTATAACAAAAAGAAATTATTGTTTCTACTTTTTTTTTTGTTTTGTTGCTTTTAAATCTTTTACCATATATAGTAACATGAAATTTATTATCGACATCTTTAAAACTAAATTTTGAAACAATATGAACACCTGGATCATTTAAATCTGTTATATCAAGTATGTGTACTTCAGGACTTGATCGAGCATCTTTCGAAGATATTTTATGAGATTCTTTAGGAATTATTGGTGAAGTTGTTTCTCTTAGTTCTTTAATTGGCGATGGTAATTGTGATGATGCATTAGATGATACACGTGATGATCGAGTTTCAGATGTTTCACTACTTATTCTCAAGTCTTTTCCAGTTAAAAGTGGTATAAATGAATCATTTGTCGCCTGATTATTATTATTACTATTTTTGAATTGTTTTTCTGGTAAGAATTTATCTTCTGGTGATGGTGTAATAATAGGTGATAGTGGTACATAATCATCATCAAATGCAAATATGGGTAATAAAACAAAATTTTTACTATCATCATTTGATATACGTATCCAATGAGTACCCTTGATAAAGAAAAAAAAAACAGCAAAGCCGAATTTTTTTTATAGAAATTTAATTGAACATAAAGAAAAAAAAATTACTTACCGACACGAATAGGTGATAAAGCAATTGTTAATTCTCCACATTCATTTTTTGAACGTTGAAATGGTAATGGTCTTTCAAGTGGATCTGCACAAAAAGAAATAAAATCGACATACACTTTTTTGTTTTCTAATTTCTATTTTATATGGATAACTTACCATTAATATCTATTTGTAATTTATCAATATTAGCAATAACACCTTCAAATGTATGTTCAAGAACTCCTTTAACTTGTACATGAAGTACAGGTTCAAATGGAGTATTTGCACCAAATGACATTATACGTATTGGACATATATCAAATAGATTGTTTTGTATTCGAATAAATACTTCATGAATATCTAATTAAATAAATCAATGAATATATTTTCACAAGGATTCTTAGGTAGGCTCAAGCGTTTGTTTTTCGTTCTATCGGATTGATAGATTTATGCAGTACATCGGAATCTTTTCACTGTCTTCGACTGTAAATAGTGAAATTTTCTGGTTTTCAATGCAGGTGTGCCGAGCCTCTTCATCGACAATCCTGTTTCAGTAGCTAAGCTTAGATGTCTAAGAAATATTTGCAACATAATGAACAAATCTATAATGTAATTCCTTTTTCTTCTGTGAACACTACTGTTTCACCATTAATCTGTTTTTTCAGTAAAATAGATCGAAAATTCTTCTTTCAAGAATCAAAAATTGGCGTATTTATTTACGTGCACGTGTTGCGAATTTTTATTCTGAAACGTATCAGTTTTATGCCGGGGAAATACGAAGCATTAACTATCTTTCATCTGAATGGCATAAAAAGATTCGTCCTCTTCCTTAACCTTTCTGTGGAGGTCTAATAAAAATTGTTGAGTGTACTGTAGATTCAAAACGTTCCGCGCCCTATGGTCATTACCATTGAATGTTTATTGTAGAATCTTGCAGAACATTGGGAATTATCCCGAAAATTTTCGGTACGGTACAAACGGGATTCGAAAAAAGTTTCTCTTGCAGCACTCGAGTTTGTTGTTTTTGGTTTTTTTAAAAGAACTTGTTAGATTTTTTGGAACAATTTAAATGATTAACAAACAGAAATCAATTGATTTTAACTCTCTTGTTGTTCGAATCAAGTATGAATCATATTACCGTGATTAGAGTGATATAATCTTGGCAATGCGTTTTATTTACAATAAAATTTATTATGTAGAAAATAGGCAATTATGTATGCGTGAAATGCGGAGCTAAATTCATCTAGAATGATAAAGTAAACATTTCTTTACACAAACAAAATAACAGAATTTAAGATCCTTTCAAATAGATATAGTTTAATACGATAGAAAAATTTTTATTGTATCATCATATGATCTCAAAGTGATTTCATTCAGATTTTCTCTCACGCAGGAATGATTTTAAACTTCAAAAGAGTCAATTCATTCTTCTAATGAGCACTGCCTTCATACCATATAAAATATTGAAACTTACCTAGCTTCGTTGGTACATATTCAATAATAAGATCTCGAGTTAAATTTCGATAGAATGCCGCTGGAATTGTATGAGCTAATAGATCTAAACAAGCACAACAAATTTTATCAAAGAGAAAAATTTTCTTTTTACCTTTTACAATAACATTAATATCACTTCCATTTATTTTACTATGATAAAGAATTAATCGAGTTATATCTTCAATACCACCATTACGAAATATATCTGTTTCTTCAACAACACAGTGTATATCAAATATTTGTTCATCATTATTATCATCAACACTAAATTGATAATAATCCATAAAATTAACAAAAAAAAATTTATTTTTATTTTTTTAAAATCATCATCTAAATAGAAACAGTTTCAATAACATATCAAAATAAAATTGAGAAATTAATCTTACAATAAGGAAGAAATCGATTGAGAATAATATCATTACTAATATGTCTATAATTAATATGAATAGACTTATTCATAAATAAACATTGAATACAAGTTTCTTAAAAATCTAAAAAAACTCTCTCTATAAACGGTTATCAAATTCATCTAAATATAAAATAGATCATTTCTAAGGCCCCAAACAGACTGACTAATTCAAAGCGACTTAAAACTGAATTAACCAATCAAATGGTCAGCCTCCGCAATTTGATTGGTTAATTCAGTTTTAAGTCGCTTTGAATTAGTCAGTCTGTTTGGGGTCTAAACTAGATTGCCATAAAAAAAAACTATTTTATATATCACTCTTCTTCAAAAAACATTTATTAAAGTGACACATATTAGAGAGCGACATCTATTCTTTATTTTCTATTGATCGATATAACTTGGCGTTCGTTTTTTTGTTCGTTCCATATGAGATCAATCATATAAAAACTACTGTTTCTTCTTGATATGAATTATGTTTCACTTATAACTATCATATTGATGGATACTATTTGATTTTGTTGGCATATTTCATAAATTTTCTGATGATTAACGTTTTTTTTTCTAGATAAAATGGACGATCTTGCACAAAAAATAGTACGTGATCTTACTGAAGTAAGAAAACTATGTTCTTATGATAAGATGAAATTAAATTTGACTTTACTTTTCTAGATAATGAAAAAAGTAGATGATGGTTTAGTTCCAGATGATGTAGTAGACAAAATGGAAATAATTGTTGTAAGTTCGAGACGTTTATTTTATATCTAATACTGTTATACTTATCTTTCAGGATCGTATGTTAGCAGTGATTGCTTTTCATGAGGTAAGTACAAGATAATATGTTTTATTTTCAATTTCCAACATATTTATAGGATCAACAAACATTATCATCATCATCATCATCGTCACCATCACCATTAATTATTCAAGAACAAGAACAAATAAATAATAGATTATCCAATGATGATCATCGAGAAACTAGTAAGATTTTAATTAGTTAGTAAAAATAGTATGTTGATTATAAAACATAGAATTCTTGTCAATTTTTTTGAGGAACATCTCGTTCGAAAGATGATTAAAAAGTTAAGGAAAGAAAAGTTGTGAACATATTCGAAGATCTACTATGTCGACTAACATTGTTTGAAAATATTTCTATTTATGTAATAGATCATCTCTACTCCGTCTCAACATTTTTTTTCCAAATCTTTTCTTTCCGAGTGGTTCGAGTGAATATAACGATAAAACTAAATTTCTCGAAAAAATATATTATTCGATTTCGTTTTATCCGCTATTTTCAAATTGACTATTCGTTTTTTCTACCGGAATAGACAATAATGATAATAACTATCAAATATGAATAGATATTCATAGGAGGTTTCTATTCTTTTTCAGTTCAATATAAATCAAACTCGAACATTTTCAAGAAATAAAATAAAAAAGGAAAAAGCTGAATAATTAAATTTGAAGTTAAGAGCCCAACATTCTGAAATAATCTATAAGTTTTCGTTGTGAATATTCTCAAAAAACTTGAAATTTCCAAACATGTCCATAAATATATGCTTGAAGATATTCTCAAGATATTTCTATTCGATTGGATATTTTTCAATATGATTCCACTTAAATTCAATCAAATGATATTTTCTACTCATTTTAATGCTCATAACAAATATGAAGTTTTTTTATCATTGCGCCGCGTTGCAAAAAAAAAACAAATTTTCAGATCGTCTTTGTTGAAATCTTATTTTCAACTCTCTCCTTTTTAAATCAGTTTTGAAGACGGTGTGCACTTTTTTCTGAATAATTTTTTTTCTATCTTATGCGAAATTGCCATGACTAGAAAATGCATGTGTTTCCACTTTACGATCGTCTCTTAGAGTGTCAACATTTTTTGATATTTTTCTCAACAAATCTCTACTTGAGAATGTTTAGGAAAATCATTTTTAATTACCTTTTATTATTGTTTTTAATAAAATATTTCTGAAAAACATAATAGAAAAATTGTAGATATTTATAATAAAAATACCTTTTTCTTGAATTTTTAACAATTTTTGATAGGAAATTTTAAAAAATTGACTCTTTTAACAACTAAAATACGTGAGAGGCTAAAGAATATGGTATAACTCATTTACACACAACCGAATAAGAATAGTTTTAACAAGAAAATTATTTGACTTTTTTTTTTCTCTGGATTTGCTTAAAGTTTCTCTCAACTCTTCTCATTAGATCGAAACAACCTTATAAACAAAAATACTTTAACTATTTTATGAACCTTTCCAAATGATAATTCAAATACTGATCGGTACATCATCTCTATGAAACAGGAGTTCGATACGGAAGTTTAGCTTTTTCGTATATAGATGTGCAAGGGCCTCTACTTAATACTATCTGCATCTCGTATCCGAGGTAAAAACTAAATAGCGTCATCATAATAGTATATGAAAAAGAATTTTTAAAACATAAAAAAATAAAATATTTTTTGTTTTTTAAGCATAAGACTCCTGAGATTTTCAGATCGAACAGTTACAAACACAGACACTTTTACAGTTTAGTTATTCCTATTAAATATAGGTAAAAGAAAAAAAATCTATATCTTCGAAATAGTTCGAATATTTCTACCATCAATATTTAACAATTTAATTACACAATGATTAATGATATGTTTTTTCTTTTTCTTAGAACTATTCAATATCTTACGTCGATGGTTTGGTTTTCGTCAACACAAAGATAAACTCGAATAACAACAACTGAAATACATTTTTTTTTTTGCTTGTCGCTTTCTTTTTTTTTTTTTCTCATCGTTGTAATTAGTGTTAGTTTATTATATACTGGAACAAAAGTAAATACTGATGAAAAGTTTTTTTGTTTAAATATGTCTAACCGTTAGGTTTCGGACTACCGAACTTTGATTGCATGAACTAATATTCATTTCAAAACAAAAGGCGGATGGTTGTTTTTCGAATAACTCCTCAATAGAAAGAGCTATCGATCTGCGGTTTTCACTATTAGAAAGAGGCTGATATTCTGCATCGTTCTATATACTAATTAACAAAATTAGCTCATAAATCTGATAAGCAGTCAGTGAAATTCAAAGAAATAATTAAAATGCTTTGAAAAATGTATAGAATTTCGATTATAAGACGTGGGTTTGATTTGCCTACTGAAGATCTACAACTTTACATAAACTCGACATTTTTTGTTTTGTATTGTTCAAAAGATATATACTCAACATTGATCGTCAAAAATGTTTGAAATAACCTTTTGTGAAATTTTTTCAAGGTTAAATAATTCTATGTCTATTAATGAATAGTTAGATTTTCGACTATTTTGAATAGAATGAAAGTGTTCATATTGTAACGAAATCATTCTTTGTTATATAAAATTAGTGCTAATTACATTACACCACCCATCGAGTATCCTAGTTGCAAACCATGATAACACAATATACTCCTACATGTTGGATATACTTCTAGTATGTTTGATTAGACGTGCAGTTATTTTTTTTGAATCTATAGTTGGTAATATGCAACAACAAAAAAGAAGTAGATTTTGTTTATCAATTAGTTATTGCTTCGACCATGGAATCCAGTTCCTCATCATCTAAGAATTCGTCTTGGAGTTGTTCCGTAAAACCAAACATCTATTTTTGTGATCGCTGAGATGAAAATTGACATTGTTATCTCTTACATATTGTCTCAACTCTGCTCATGCCAACTTCACTGAATTGAACAAACAATGTTTGACGGACAAGCTATAAATACTCGTTCCAAGATCAAAAGGTGATATTATAAGATTAACAACTTGCCGAGTGTAGGCAGTGGGTGTGAGTTTTCTTATTTTAACCCACACCCACATCCATACCCTAATTAGCACTGCTTTTACATAACAAAGAATGATTTCGTTGCAATATGAACAGTCATTCTATTCAAAATAGTCGAAAATCTAACTATTCATTAATAGACATAGAATTATTTAACCTTGAAAAAATTTCACAAAAGGTTATTTCAAGCATTTTTGACGATCAATATTGAGTGTATATCTTTTGAACAATACAAAACAAAAAATGTCGAGTTTATGTAAAGTTGTAGATCTTCAGTAGGCGAATCAAATCCACGTCTTATAATCGAAATTCTATACATTTTTCAAAGCATTTTAATTATTTCTTTGAATTTCACTGACTGCTTATCAGATTTATGAGCTAATTTGTTAATTAGTATATAGAACGATGCAGAATATCAGCCTCTTTCTAATAGTGAAAACCGCAGATCGATAACTCTTTCTGTTGAGGAGTTATTCGAAAAACAACCATCCGTCTTTTGTTTTGAAATGGACATTAATAAGTGTCTAAGAATATGAGTCCTATAGAGACCAAACACGTTGTCTTATTCATATTCTAACGAAATCTATAAATAAACTGATTTCAATCTCAACTGCAACATATATACCGCTGCATTGCCTGCTTGACTTTGGTCATCTTAACTGTCAATTATAGATAATGCAAAATTAAAACAAAAACGTTTCTATTCATAATTCAAGCTTCATATTACTACCACATTCTATCAATAGGCTTTGTTTAGCCTGAAAAAATATATAAATGCAATTCATCATTACGATAGTCAATTAAGTCCCTTAAATACATCAAAATATTATCTGCATTGCTATTTATTTTTCTCAATTGACATATTCATGTCTAACAAAAAAAAATAGAACTCTAAGGACCGTGTCAGATAAGATAACTATCCTTCATTTGAAAAG